GTATCTATGTTCAGTGCAGCCCTCTGGCTGCTGAGACAAGCTCACAGGTCACCTGTGAGTCATGCGGGGCATCTACCCACTCCACCCAAATTCCTGCCTTCTGGGTCCCTTGGCCAAGGCCCACAGCCAGGCAGGGAAGGGGTGGGCAGTCGGGTCCCAGATGGGTATTCAGATTGGTCTCTGGATCTTCTCTGCAAGTCTGGGTTAGGACCCGGAGGCCAACTTCTCCTTCCAAGGGCAACAGCTGCATGAAGACTGAGGCAGGGAGTGAGGTGGAAAGAGCTTTTGGGTTCTGGAATCCTCGATCCTGGCTTAGGTACCCACTAGCTCTGTGACTTTGGGCAAGTCACAGAAATGCTCTGAGCCTCAGTAGCCTCATGTGTAAAATGGGCACAGAATGTTACCTAGCTCACAGGACCAAGGGATGATTAAGTGATGTGAAACACACACACATATATTCCTAGCACATTTGACAGGTATATGGTAGACACTTGAAAAACATAGCCTTCTTTAATCTTCCTCTCTTACTAGAACCTTAGACAATTGTCCTATTTTCAGTACCTTTAGTTACTCACCAGGGTCAGTCTGAGACTACGGTCAGGGTCAGGGATCAGTGTGTGACCAGGGTCAGTCTCAGTCTGGGGCCAGGGTAAGGGCTCTCAGACTCATCCAAGAACACCAAAGATCCCCTGAGCATGACTTAACTGGCCTGATATGTGCCCTGCCCCCTTCCCCCACCTGGGCCAAGCCTGCCCTATGTGCAGAGGAAGCAGCCCTTCCCGTCCCAGCACTGACTCTGTCCCTGCTCATTAGCTCTGGGCAGCAGGCGGTCAGAGAAGCAGCTGCCAACTGGCAGCCCAGCCACCCAGCCTTGGCCAAGGGTCAGAACCTCACAGGCCACCTCCTGGCTGGCCCCTTCCCCACGCTCACCTGCTGGGGTACTCCCCACCTGTCAGGGCCACTGCCTTCCTGGTCCCCGCTGTGCTCTGACTGGCAGGTCTCTCTGTGCCAAGCTGGGAGGCAGGTGCTGGGCACTGCTCAGGCCCCAGAGCCTTGAGCCAGGCCCAGACTGGCAGGAAAGACCTTACGCTTGGCCACTGGCCCAGCAGACCTCGGTGTGGGATCTGTTAGGCAGTACAACTGGGGTTCTCAATGCCTCTAAAGACTAAGACTTTCCCAGGCCAGAGCACAAACCAGCCCAGCAAGCCTGAAACAGCATGGAGGCCAAGCCTTACATCCTGGCCATGGGAAAGCCAGGACTCAGAAAGGGGGCAGAGACTGGCCTGAGGTCACACAGGGAATCAGGGACCACGGGCTAGCTCTGGGTCTTTTCCTGATCCCATATTGGCTGCTCTCCACTGCCCCGCGGCTTTCTTCTGCTAGATGGACTCACGTGCCCACTGTGACCGCTTCTCAGGATCCCCCCTCTCCTCGTGTCATGCCTGAGGCCTGCCAGCACCTCCCACTGCCTTGGCGCCACCATGTCTTCAGCCTTGTGGGGCAGGTTCCCAGGTGAGGTATTCAGGCATTGAGAGGCAAAGTAACTTTCCTAAAGTCAGAGCACACTCAAAACAGGACCAGATTCATTCATTCAACTATTATTTATGGAGAGCTTCGTATGTTTCAGAGACTGCGCTGGAAGTAGGGAGAGAATGCTGAGGGAACTGGACCCAGTGATTGCTTGCACAACTAGTGGGGCACGATGGGGAGAGGCACTGATGAGGAATAAGCCAAGAGTCACATAAAAGCCCATAAAACACAAAAAACTGCAGCTGCAACACTGGAGAAGGACACAATCCCGTGGGGGCATAGAATGGGGGAAGATTTGGTCTGGTCTGGGAGGTCAGGGAGGGCTTCCTTGAGGAGGTGATGGCTGAGCTGAGATCCAAAGTGGGAGGGAAGAGGGTCTGCTCAGAGAATTGAGAAATGTTTGTCCATCTGGTGTGGCTGGAACAGAGAGGGAGGTGGGGGGTCATGCTGCTGGGGAGTGGGAGGGGGCGACAAAGACCCAACCATGTTGGGCCTAGAATCCTCTACTCTGGGAGCAATTAGAAGCCATTGGAGGGTTCAAAGAACGTGCTCCTTTAGTACTATGGCACCAAGGTATCGAATGGTAATCTGCCTTTGAAGGGGGCTTGAAGGGGGGCAATATTAGATGCACCAAGAGCAGAATAGCGCAGGAACTTAAGGCAGCAGAGCTGGCAGACAGAAGCAGCCAAACTCAAGACAGAGGAATTGGTACAACTTGGCAATGGACTGGACTGGGGCGAAAGAGTGTGATTACTGACGTCAGGATGGTAATGAGATCACATGAAGAGAGACTGCAGAGAAACAAGAGGGACCTAGGGTTGACACCTGGGACTGGCCAACATGTAATGCCGGGTAGAGGAGATAAAGAGGAGATAAAGATGAAAGAAAGTAAGAGTAGGGCATCCTGGAAGCCAAGAAACGAAAAGGTTTCCAACAGAACAAGTGGTCATGAGGGGCTGATGCCACTGAGGGATCACAAAAGATGAGATATGCATCGGACAGAGAGCTAGCCATGGTGATCACTGGTGACTTTAAAGAAAGCTATTTCAGTGGAGAAGTGGGGTCAGATTGGAAGCAAGTCAATGCCTCAGATGGAAAGAGGCAGAACCAACCACAAGATGAGCCAAGCAGACCTGCTGGTCTGGCACAGTAGCCACTGAAGGACACACTCTGCAGCTAGACTGGCTCAAGGCTAATGGTGGAGGGAAGTGGATACGCCCCAAACTAGGGAGGCCCCGTCTTTGGACCTGACCATCTTCTGCTTTTCCCTAATGGGTTGAGTGAGTGAATGGCTTTGGGGCACTCTCAGGCTGCCCCTCCCCATGGGCCTGTCTTCTGGGGGTGAAACAACCCAGAGAGGAGGGTGGAGCTAGGCAGAGACTGGAATCTCCGGGATCCCACCCCAATCCTAGGTGAAACAATGCGGATGGCAGAGAGTCGGCCACCGCGCCAGGGGACCGAGCTGAGGGCACCAGAAAACAGAGGCAACAGAAAGATGAGAAGACATGTTTTGAAAGAATATGAAATTATCTATATATATGTTCTTTAATATAAGAGTTAATATTATTTAATATATATTAAATATATAATATACTTTTTAAGCATTGAAGTAGCCGCGGTGAGAAAAGCGAGGACGGGGGCAGGCTTGCTGACGCCTGCTGTGTGCTTTGCTGCCCTGTATTTGGAATCAGACATGGGGGTGGGTATCATGTCATATTCTTTCCAGGGTTTAGGGCTTCTGAGGGTCTCGGTCCTCCCTCTGGGGTTCCTGCCTGGGGCTGGGGGCTCGCACTGAAAGCCCCTTTCAGGTCCCGACAGCTGGGTCGTCTTTCTCAGAAGCCTCCCTTCTGCTTTCATTTGCATCTCATTAGCACCTCCAAGAGCTGGTGGCATTCAGCCGCCTGGAGCCCCAGAACGCAGGCTGCAGGCTCGCCCAGGCCCTGCTCCCTGCCCCCTCCCTGGGTGGAGATGGGTGCAGTGATGTGCTCCCCACCCCAACCCTGCACCTCCCACACCCCTCACCCTGGCTCAGCAGCTTGGCTCCTGCTGCGCGTTTCCATGGCAACCGGGTGATGGCGCAGGTCGCGGTGCCTGTTGAGGAGCCACAGCCGCCCAACTCCCCGCCCCACGGCCCAGGCTGGATTGGTGATAGGCAGGGCCTCAATCTCCCGAGATGATCGGCGATAATTGGTTTATGGAAATAAGTGAGGGGAGAAGGCGAGCTCCCTACCAAGCCTGCTCTCTGCCACCTGTCCTTCCTCACCAAGGAAATGGAGCTGGGGGAGGGGAGGGCCGGGAAGCTGGGCACTGGAAATGGGGCAAGTGTTTCACCTGTTGGGCTCCAGCACACCATCTATCCCCCTTTCACTGTGTGGGTATGCGTTTGGGGGAGAGTGTTATCATGGTAACCCAGGGTGTTTGCCTCAGTGCTCCTTGACCCCTAAGCCTGTACTCAGGCCTATATTGGGCACATTGCTGAGGAAATGGAGGAGACATGGGATCTGTCCTCAGGAGCCCCAGTCTGGGGGGCACAGGAGCAGCACATACTTTATTTATATTAAGTATGTCAGACCAGTGTTGCCACTGCTGTGAGGCTCAACTCGGGTGGCTGCCTGGAGGAGGAGGCTCATGAGCGAGGCCTTAAAGGTGGGATTTCAGTAGATATTGGCGCAGGCACTCCCCAAAAGGAAATGCGGGCAAAGCCTGCAGGGAGGCACTGAATGTTGCTGGTATTGGTGAAGAAAGGGAGGTGCAGGTAGCTTGGGGTGAGGCCCTAATGGCTCCCGATGCCTACAGGAGGGGCTGAGGGATGGCAAGCTTGTGCACAGTGCTTTATAATCAAGACTGAGCAGATGTCCAACATCCATACAGAAGGTTGGCTGGATGGAGACTCTGTCACCCCTTGATGCTCTTCCAGAAGAAGTGGGCAGAGGACACGGCTTGGCAGGCCTGGCTTGGACACTCGGCTGTGAGAAGTGTATACACTGACTACAGCTGGCTGGAGGGCTCAGAGGATCAGAACTAGGGAAGCCCCCATGGTGGAAGTGACTGGAGAAGTGGTGGGGGCCAAGGAGGAGGATGGTTGTGAGGATCCTGCCCCAGGATTGGGCATGATAAGATGGGGCACCCAGAGGCTAGCAGAGGCCTTCTCCTTCCTTTGACCATCACCCCGCACTGAGCCCAGCCCAGGCCTCTGCATCCGGGGGCTCTGCCCCTCTGAGGTCCGTTCATGGCCAAGCCCGGTCAGCTAGCTGTGGGATAGAGTGGCTCTTCTCTCCTTCCCCAGCCCTTGCAGCAGGGAGGCCTCACATCCGCAGGGCCCACAGCTCCCGTGTGGTTCACATTTGGCTTTCCCCTCTGCGTATCACAGTCCCAGCCCCGAACCTCTGGCTACTCATATTCCAAATGTCCATACTCTGGTTTCTGCTCCATCCTGGACACCAACCCTGCCTCCATTCCCAGCCAGCTACTTACACTATCACATAGGGCCACGGCTCAGAGCCATCCTTGCAGGCAGGCAGATTGGTGGCTCCATGGAGAGTAACCGTGATGACCTCCTTATTAGAGGGAGCCAGGTGGCTGACAACAGAGTCCACATTCTGGGAGGTATTCTGGGCTTCCTCTGGGCCCTCGGTCACCTGTGGAGAAAATCAGGGCTGAGTGGCCTCTTACAGTGTGGTCACCTCTCTTTACAGCCTTCCTGTAACTCTAGCCCCATCACAGCTCCCCTCCAAGTGGCTGTCTCCCCCTGTCATCCCATACCTAGTCTGGAACTACAGGGGCAGTCGCCTTTGACCCCATTTTCTCCCCACCTGGGCCCCATACTCCACATCTCACCATCTCCCTCTTGCCTCCCCTAGCCCTGGGTCATCACTTCCTGCGGAACAAGACAGGCCATCTCACCTTTCAAGTCCTGTCCCGCCTCTAAGCCTTGCCTTTGCTGGGTAGCCTTGCCTGTAATTTCTGTAATGCCTGCTTCTGAGGTTCTAGCAATCGGCCCTCTTTGCTCTCTCCTGTAACCGTAGCCCAGTCTATCTGTCACATCAGGTTCCTCCTGTGCACAGCACTTTATAGTTTACAAAGCTTATATCCACATCCATGGAGTCACCCAAAGCATTAATTGAGATGAATGAATGTCTCTGTCCCAAATGCTTCATCCATCTTCAACCCAGAGAACCCTGCGGACCAGGGAGGAGGAGGAGAGGTGCCTGCCTGCGCACCGGCCTCCCACACTGGTTGCCCCAAGCAGACACGTGCAGGGGCTCAACAGCTCAGCAGCTCCTGGATTCACAAGCCAAGACGGCAAGCAGAAGCCTGAGCCCACGCAGCAAAGTGGAAGGGGACGGAGCGAGCTCCCCGAGGCCCGGGTCAGGCTGACTCCGGAGGCAGTGGAGAGTCGGGGGGGTGGCAGAATCCGGCCTTTGGTGGTAAGGCAGGGAGGGGTGTGGACAGGGGTTTGCTGTGGTTAGGGCGTTCTGTCTTCCTCCTGCACTGGCTGGCTGGCTCTCACTCACTCTCAGAGCCTGGAATTGACACAGTTGACCCAGTTTAAGCCTCAGCTGGCAGAAGGCCACCCCCACCTTTTGTTCCTCCTGCTGATTAATCAGGACTACGTGAGAGGCCACAGAGGGGCTCTCCTGGCCCTGAGAGAGGAGCAGTGGGCCTCCTCCCTGAGGGGGCCACTGGGGGCTCACCCTCTTATCCGGAAGCTTGGCCTGTCAGATCCTGCATTCCAGGGCAGGCCCCGGAAGAGGTGAGACAGTCCTCAGAGGCCCAGAGAAGAGTGAGGGCCTGGTCCTCGGCAGGCTTTGTGCTGGTGGCAGCCCAAGCGGGTTGGGTCCCCTAGCTCTGTCCTGATGAGCACTGAGTGTCAGGAGGGCTGGGTTTAAACCAGCTCTGCCTTTCACCACACAGGACCCAAAGCCAGCTGTGTTCTGAGAGTCAGTGTCCCCAGTGGGACAGTGGGTACTTGGGCCAGCCTGTCTGGAACTTGCCCTGCTTCCTGTGTGAGGGCCCAGATTCCCAGTACATTGCTCGCCCTGTAAGTCTGGGGGGTCCTGGCTCCTAGAAGCCTCTGAGCAGGGGGAAAGGGAAAGGCTTTTTCTGGCTATCACTTTATTTAGCTCTCATGACAGAAGTGTGGGGTGACCATGAGTATGAGCCCCATGCTACTCCAACCTGTCAGCTTTACCTTCAGACCACATCTAGACGCCTTACACCATCTCCACTCGGGTCCAAGACACGAGATTTCTGGACTTGCTCCTCATCGCTTTCTTGTTTCCACCCTGGCCCTCCCCCCGCCCCGCCCCATCTCACAGAACAGCCAGCGTGATCCTCTACAGACTTCAGTCAGACCAGATCCCTTCCTGCAGTCGCTCCCCGTCTCGCTCAGAGCGTCACCGTGGCCTATAAGGACGACACGCTCTGACCCAGCAAACCGACCTCGTTCCATCCCTGGGCCCCTGGTCCACTAGCGGGCCTTCTCGTGGTTTCTCGCGCCCACCAGGCTGGCTCTTGCCCCCGGGCTCTGCCCTGGCTCTCTGCCCTGGCGTCCCTTCTGCCTGGACTGCTCTTCCCTCCACACCCACCGCTGGGGCTCCCTCACTTCCTGCACATCCGCTCTATCAGAAAGGCCCTCCTGGTACGGGTTGTGGTCTTTGCCTAACAAGATGACTACCTAGGGGGTGAGAGAGAACATCACCCCCTTCCCCAGCCCCAGAAGTGCCAGCCCTACAGAGACACTCCTTCCCTTCCTCTGAATGAAGAGCCCCTTCCTGCAGGACCCAGCAGGAGCTGCCACCATCTGCAGTGGTGTTGAGAGTTACCCCTCCCCCCTCCCCTATTCCTCTGCCAGCCCAGGCAGGGTGGGAGGAGGCGGGGGGAGGTCAGTACTCAGAAGGAAGCCCTGTCAAGTAGAGGAGGGAAGGAAGAAAAATAGCCGCAGAGCCACCCCTACCCTCACAGATCAGAGATGCTGCCTTCCCAGTGTTCCACCCTCACTGTACACCCCATAACCCACTCATTCCCCAGCAGGTCTGATCTCCTGGTTTGGTGATACAGGAGCAAGACCAACAGACTAGGGGTCGAGAGATCTAGGTTTCGGCCCAGCTCTGCCCCCCAACCCTCTGAGCCTTAATTTTCCCACCTGGTCAATGAGGATATTTGGAACAGATTGTAATTCAATCTTCCCAATAATTGGCCTGAGTTTCCTGCAGTGAGGTCAGGAGAGGTGACTAATGTTCCTCCCACTCCCAGATTCCCAAAAGCCACCTAAGATGGTAGCCCCAACCCCCTGGCTGCTGTCACGAACTCCCTAGAGCCCCAGGAGTGAGGAGCCAGCAGCATGGCAGTTGCCCAAAGACTCCCACTGACTCCCTGGCAGCCCCAGAGTCTAACCAGGCACCTCTCAGGCCAGGCCATGAGTGTGCCTCCTCTAGGTCCTCGACATCCTCTGTATCCTCCCTGTCCTCTGGGCCTCCCCTCCGGGACAGCCTTCCTGGAAACAAGGCTTGCAGAGGGGTTGGCAGGAACTGCTCGTGCTTCACTTTTGGGCGTGAGGCCAGCTGCCAGGCTGGTGCCTCCTGGCGAGGCCTGCAGGCATGTGCCTGCTGGGCAGGCTGGGCCCAGGGCCAGGGAGGCCTGAGGCCAAGTAGGAGGCCTGGAGAGGGGACAGCGGGCCAACCTTTCTGCCTTTCCCTCTTTTCTGTCTATGTCTTGAAGGGAATCTGCAGGCTTTTCTCAGACATGTGCCTGCATCAGGACCAATGTCCTCCCAACTGCCAGCCCTTCCTGGGCCTACACTGGAGACTCTGTCAGGGAATAGAAAATGCACATGCTGGGTTCCGTGTGGGGAAGCGAACTGTGAGTGATGACGAAACTAAGTCTCAGGTCCTGCAAACCTATCTGTGGGGATGAGATGAGTCCTAGGGAGGGAATTCACTTCCCCTCAGTACACTGCCTGTAGGCCAGGAGCAGAGCTGGATTCTTACTCACCATGGGCTTGCTCCCTGTTAACTTGCCCAATGCTGCCAGGGTGCAGAAACCAGAGGGCAGCATTTCCAGGCAGGGGTCTGGCTGGTTGACTACTGCCAAAGACCACGCTGCCGGTGCTGGGGGCCGGGTTGTGAGAACCCAAGCTTGCCTGATTCCACAGCACAGCTCTCAGCTGCTCCACTGGGGCCTGGCATGTGGGCAGGCTCAGAAGTGGCTAATTCCAATGTCTTACCGTCCAGACAGTCTGCCTCCCCTCAGTAAGCCAGGATTAGTTGGCAGATGTCCCGAGGGACCTGTGACTGCCCATCACTTAGGGCATTTGGGGATGTGTTTGGTGGGGGGAGGGGACAGGGCAGGGGTAGGAAGATTGCACCGCAGTGAAGGAGTTAATGGCCTGTTCCATTCAGCTCCCAGGGCAGGGGCTTAACTTGGTTCCCGTGGAGAGAGAGACGGAAGGAGACGACTGCTCCGCGTGCCCTGGCCACTCTGCCCCAGCAATCTGGGAGGCCATGGGAAGCAAGGAAGCCCAGTTCCACCCTCCAGAATGTCCCTGGATCTGCAAGTGATGCCAGCCAGAGAGGCTCTGCTGGGGCCAGAGGAGGGGGCACTGGGCTGGGAGGAATGGGGTCTGGCTGCCCCTCATCAGTCATTTGGGCTGATTCACTCCAGGGGCCTCTGTTTCCCGCTGTATCACTGAGTTTTAACTAGTCCCTCATGTTCCTTCTTGTTTCAGCATCTAAACTTACCTGGGAGCTACGACAGCCATGGCGAGGCCCTTTTCTAGGCGAGGAAGCAGGCTCAGGGACACATAGCCCTCACACCAAAGCACACAGCTGAGCTGGCGGGGCCTGGGCCCGAAATGGAACCAGGGCCACCCGCCTCCACTTCCTGCTGAGTCTGCTCTGTTCTCACCAGCCGTTCTCTGGGTGTGACATGCTTTCTCTAGGTCACAACGTATACACTCCTGGGCTCATAACCCAAGGGGCCGGGACCAGCAGATGGTACCAGTAACAGGAATTGTGGTGTTTGGAGCAGAAGAGGTTTCTCAGAAGGACATAGAAATCAAAAATCATGAAGAAAAGGACTGATAGATTTGATTACATCAAAATCCATACCAACTTCCATAATGGTCCAAAATTCACCACAACACACAGAAAAGACAAACGGGAGGAAATGTTTGCAGTATATAGAAAAGGACAGATATCCCTAATACACAAAGAGCACTGAAGCCGATGAACATTACCATAACACAAAAAGATGTGATTGGAGGATTCACAAATGAAAAAATACTATGTAATATTAATATGTAATACGTAATTAAGTACATTATGAGCATCCTTATAGAAGATTCTACCCAGCTACCAAAAATGTTTCCCAAAGCTATGAATCAAATAAAACAAATCTAGCTCCTCAGGGAGTCCATGCACACTCCTTGGATCCCCAAATCCAGCTAGGGTGGGCATGTGGGAAGGAGCTTTGGGGATCAGTTGACAGCTTAAGGCCCCCAAGTCTGGTCCCTGCTCACCCTGTGTGTGACAGAGTGTCTGGCATTCCAGGAGGCTTAAAGGGGGAAGGTGGAGTCAGGAGGAGGAGCCAGATGTGGGTAGACACACCAAAGTCAAAGGTAATCAGGTAGAAACCACACTGGGGCCCGGGTACCCTTAGCTGTTGGGTTTGTTTGACCTAAGAATGTAACCACAAAGAGGGTGTTCCCAAGGCAGCAAGTACCACAGGAGGGCGTGAGCTCAGCCTTGTCAGTCGGCGGAAGCGGGGGTCGTGCTGCTCTGTCACAGCTATGTATTAGGTACATGCTACAGAACAGTGCTAGGCAGCTGGGGATACAGCAGTGATCGAAGCAGACAAAACCCCCTTCTCTCTGGGCATTGGAGCATCTGTGGCCTGAGGCAGAGGGCTGGGCCAGGGCTGGGAGAGGGTGGAACAGCGGGGCGTGGGCACTGCCAGGGCGGCAGCCTGGGAATCTCCTGGCAGATCTTGGAGGAGGATGGTAGGCCATCGTGGTGGGCTCTCTGAGCCTCGTGACCCCCAGCAACAAGAAGGCAAAAACTCCTTTCCAGGCTGGGTGGCGGTGCTATCCCCAGATCAAGCTTCATTTCTCTCTGGGTCACAGGGATATGGGCAGAAATCACCAGGTTGAGCTGATCACACCTGCGAGCATGCTGCATCTCAGACCCTACGTGGCCCAGGAGTGTAGGACACCTCACTAGGAAGAGCTACAGAGACCACCTTCTTCCCCATTTCACAGCTGTGAAAACTGAGGCCCAGAGAAAGGAAGCTTCTGTCATGATTCAGGAGCAAACAAAACAAGGGACTTCGAAGGAGAGATGAGCTCACGCAAGTGCATGGCATATGCCCCCAGGCCTCACCTTTTTCTTTTTCCGTCCCATCCTCTTGGAGGCAGGAATGTTTGGCCTTGTTAAACAATCCTGGGGGCCAGTACCTGGTATTGATGGATGATCAGTCCTGCCCAAACAGCTGGCCTGGGTACCTTGGAGTCTTTGAGGGTGACTGGCAGTATGGAGTGTCAATGTGGTCTCAGAGGTGCCAGACACTGGCTCTGGGACCTGGACAGGGGAAACTGGAGGGGCGGGGGATGTGCAGGGGTCTGGAGCTTTCTCAGCAGGGAGACATTCTGTGAGAGGAGGTGCCTTGGGGGCTCTGGGCCATGGCCAGCTGGGCAGGAGTCAGCAGCTGGGCAATTGGCTCTTGGCACCCCTGGAAGGTAAAGATGGGGTAGCCCTCTCTCTGCCCAGACCTGGAAAAGCAGTGAGCTTTTCCACCCAGTTGGGTCACCTGGGAAACACTGTGTGACATCACAGGGCAGGACAGAAGCCACACAGATACAGTGTCAGGTGCAGCATGGGGGGTCAGAAGCCCTTCCCCCATTCCTGGAGTTCTCCAGCATTCAGTCCTCATCCTTCCTGCTCTTGGTACCCCAAACTGGTGAAAAGATTCACCAGCTGCCCTCTGCGTTCAGCCACATGCTGACCACTGCAGGAAAGGAGGAGCCCCAGAGGCTGCCTGCAAGGAAGTTGCAACTTGGTTGGTAAAACAGCAATTTCTATTAATGACTCTGCAAGCATCCTGCCCTGGATGTCGGCAGTCTTTTGTTCGCTTAATAATAATAAACACAAAGTTCAGGAGAATGGTTTCCTCTTTGAGGGTGGGTGGGAAGATGGAAGAGAATGGGGAGTAGGTAGGTGTGTTATTGTAATGTTGTGTCTTAGACTGGGTGGTCAGTTAACGGCTGTTCATTATATTATTAAAAATAATATTGATAAATAACTAAAGAGGGCAACAATGTATGGGTCAACAATGGTCCTAGGGTATGGACCAAAGATTATGACTAATCCAATTCTGAGCTCCATAAGCAATTATTATAGAGATAGCAATTCTTTTTACTGAGCACCTATTACATGCCAGGCATGGTTCTAAGTGCTTTTATGTGTGGTGAGGTGGCAGAATGAGGAGCGACTGGCCCCTGACCTGGGGTGTGGTCTGCTTCATGGGGAGCTGAGGTCTAAACTGGCCTCAAAGGTTGGATAGGAATCCTGAGCTAGCAAAGGTGAGATGTGGGGTACTGGGTGGAGCTGAGAGGTGTCTGGAAGACCCTTGCAGTCTGCCTCATTCCTCTCCCAGCTGTTTTAGACCCCATTCTGAGGGTTC